ATTTTGAGTAATTTCATTTTTTAATATTTACGTATGTTATCGTTTTATTATAAAACGTTATACTATAATAATAATAATATATTTCTACGGAATATATTAAATTTGATTATTATATTTACAATACTACTTGTACACGTTTTTAACATTAAATTGTGTATAATATATTACAATATAATACTTACGAGAASTAAAAAACAAAAAATGCATAGTTAAAATTAAATGTTTAATGTAATATTAAGCACGGTGCACCGTAGAAAGTTGTTTAGATACTGAGTATTTGACAACAAATCATAATATGTAAAAATAATTCACTTGAAATCAAAATTTGAATATCGTTCAAATCATGCGAAGTTACTTYGCTCCAAACACCTGTTTATGAGAAATTCAAAAACTTAAAAATTTAAACGATGTGAGTTATATCAAGTTAGTTGTGCCCACGTCTGTATATTGTAGTTTATATTTTTCAATCATTTGATTTTTTTATGATAATATTACAGTAAAAAAACTTATTTTTATGCTTACAAAAACAATTTAGATAGTAAACGACTGAGGTATACGTTTAGTGCATAATAATATTATAAAAAGTGAAGTCTGTAAACGATACGGAATAAAATAGCTTTTAGTCGAAAAGGTAACTAAATGTAATTAATGATTTAAGGCAATTTTGCTTATTAGGTTTGACTCCTGCACAAAAGACTACTTTAATAAAACGTTACACACAAAACAGATCTCCACATAGGTAATGTTATTACTCGATCACTTAGTAAAATATAATTTGTGATATGGTAGAACACAATCTCGGATATTATTATATTTTAACAGTATTACAATCAAAACACAAAAAATAATTCTGGAACAATTTTTCAGCAAAGAAACCCAATATATTTAATAGTATTAATTTATTTATTGCTACAAAGCTAATTTCATTATATAAATAATTTATAATTGAAAACTACACTTGATTACTTCAACGATAAGTCGAATAATACATTCCACAAAATTATTATTTTCAATCGATATGACAATGACACCTATGAAATAATTAGTTTTGCRTTTTATATTTTGACTCTCAAAATACCCCATACCTATGCACTAGTACCATTAATATAATATTATACAGAGTGATTTACCAAATATGCTAACCCCATGTATATCTTCAATAATAGGTAATATCTTTTCAAAATCCAGATACATGACAATTATTTTGAATTTTTAAATAAAATTTCATCTTATAGAGTCTATAATAATATATAGCTCTATAATATAGACCATATTTTCACATTTTTGAGATTTATTTTGTATTACTAAAGTACATACTTAAGTGTATTGTGAAAATACTAACTTTTTAAAAACAAAATTTCGTATCATCACCGTGTACTGTTTTTAAGAAGGTAAWTATTAAATACTAAAAATCTCAAGAATTTGAAAATATGGTCTTTAAGTGTAAATAAAAATTTAAAAATAAAATGTCAGAATTTGAATAAATTTATCACTAAAGAACATAATTGGGGCTAGCATGATTAGTGACTGTCATTGTGCAATATTATTATGATATTCTGTTACATTACAATATGATATACCGTTATATGGATCAACATGTTTTATAATTTTAAGATTACTCCGCCGTTGATAGATAAGAAGTAACGACTAACTAGCAGTTAGTCTTTTGAATAATTTCCATATAAAAAAACTGTGA